ATAGTAGTAGCAGGAGTCGTAGAAATAGCAGAAGAACGGCAACAATAATAATACTAATAATAGTGTAGCAGTAGCAGTAGCAGTAGCAGTAGCAGTAGCAGTAGCAGTAGGAGTAGCAGTAGCAGCAGAAATATTCCTAATAAGTGTAGTTGACTGCTAACCGTCCAAAGCATTACCCCTTCTTTGGTTCCGCAGCTCACGGCACAGTTGGCCCCCCAGTGAAGAGGGCGCCCAAACCTCAGCAAGAATCTCTGCAACCGTGACAAGACAGGAATGTTCTAGTCTGAGTTTTCTGATAACACCCGGCCGAATGAAGGACATGTGTGGGAAGAGGCCTTTACTTCCGATCCGAAGGACTTCAGAAGCTGTATAGGAACATAAATCTCTAGCCAGAATCTCATTACACTCCTACCTTCCTACTGCGAGTGAGGCCCCTTCATTTGAGCTATAGTCTAAACTCCTAGTATCCCCCTTAATAACCCCTATAGTAGTCTCCTATATTATCCTCTATATAACCCCCGTTCAGGAGTTTAGATTATGGCTCATTTGGAAACAATAGTTTTGTTGGCTTGCAGGCAGGGCGTGGCGCAAGATGTGTCTTCAAAGTTACAGCCTAAACCGCTCTTAGTGCACATGCCTAACACTGCTGACCTAGCCAAGAAGCCCTACTTGGAGGGTCAGGGGGACTTAGTAAGTAACCGAATCAGGGGGGGATGACTAGGGTTACTACGGTTACTATATGGGCTATAGAGGTTAGTTACCTACTTACCAAGTCACTAAGTCTCCTTGACCCTCCAAGTACCAAATGAGCGGGGTCCGAGGAGTTGCTTCTGCTGAAGAAAGAGAAACCACAGATCAGCTGATGCATTCGATAGATGGGGGTTTGTCAAAAATTAGGGATACCTTCTTGGGGATCCCTATATCAAGGATTGCACTATATTGGAATCTATATTGGGGTCCCCCCCCTTTTTAGGGGAAGTACCAAATAGTCTTGAATAACTTAGATCCGGATATGCCTGCAAGAGAACTAGGCCCTAGACTCCTAGACCTTGGTTGCCTTTGCCAGGAGATACCCCGAATGCCGCACCCCTGAAATACTTCGGCCACAACCCCTCAGCCCCACAATCCTAAACCCAAAATCCTAAAGCCTACAGCCTGAATCCACAAACCAAGGCCTCAACCCCTCAACCCTGAATCCCAAACTCAACCCTACACATTGCGGCCCTTAGCCCGTGGAGGTTGAAGCCACTGCGGTCCAGCGGCCGGAGGTTCGACTGCGGCCCCCCAGAGTGGCACCTTGGAATGAGAGGGTTAATACAAAAAGTCCTTCAGGGGCTTTAGTTTTGGGTTTAGGGAGACTGTACATTGAGATATAAGTTAGGTGGGTCCCCCACCCACTACTAGTGACCACAAGAGATATTGGCAATTACGCCGTAAACGCGGGACCTGAGCTTAAACATTGCTGAAGGGCCGCCGCCATTAATAAGAATGATTCGATGACAGTACGGATCATAACACTCGCCAGCCTTGACTTGACCCCTGAACTCAAACCTCCAAATCCACAAACTTATCCCAAACCCTGAGCCCACATGCAGTTACCAAACAGAATCTGAATGGGGGGCCCTCAAAACTATGGTTCCTTTTGGGTACCTACATACAAAAAATGGGGCCGTATCATAGTAGGAACACAAAACAGACCACCAGTTTGACAACCCTCTGAAAGGAGACCTATGCAGACCTCACAGTATATGTACGTGTATATATATATATATGGGGTTTCCCAAAATTAGGGGTATTTTTGGGGTCCCTATAATAAGGACTATGGTATTTTGGGGGTCTATATTTGGGTCCATTATTTTGGGAAACTTCCATATATACATATCCCAACCACCCTAACTATACCAGCCGTGTATGGGGGGTATCCACCTGGTAACTGCCCACATCAAACCCTAAACCCTAAACCCCATACCCTTAACCCTTAACCCCAAAACCTTAACCCAAGACCCCACATCCCAAACCCTTAGCCCTAAACCCTGAACCCTAAAACCCTAAACCCCAAACCCTAGTTACTATCCACATCGAAGATGTCCCCGTGCCTGCGCCTGCTGCCTGGGCTGGCGGTCCTGTCTCGGAGGGTGCGGCGCTCTCCGGAGGGGCGAGGCGCCTGAGGGTTTAGGGGTTTAGGGTTTAGGGTTTAGGGGTTTAGGGGTTCAGGGTTTAGGGGTTTAGGGTTTAGGCACTAGGGTTGGGGATTAGGGGTTTGAGGTTAGGCATCAAAATTTAAGGTTTGAGGTTTAGGGATTAGGCATTAGGGTTTGGGATTGGGGGTTTGAGGTTAGGCATCAAAATTTAGGGTTTGGGGTTTAGGGATTAGGCATTAGGGTTTGAGATTGGGGGTTTGAGATTAGGCATCAAAATTTAGGGCTTGGGGTTTAGGGAGTAGGCATTAGGGTTTGGGGTTAAGGGTCTGGGGTTTTTGGGTTTGAAGTAACCCCACGGGTGTAGGGGACATAGGATAGCCCATCATAGGGTCATAGGGGGCTCAGGGTTTGGACTGCAAGTCTAGTATTTAAGATCGTTCTTGACCGTTCTGATGTTAGTGTTTGAGTTCAGAACTTCGATTTGATGTAATGCCTTTGTTCCCTCAGACGGACAGCTCTGAGCAAGGGATGCGTCCATGGTGTGTTCCAAGTTTTGCTTTGACGCAGGGTTTGCTAATTTCTTGACCACTACATCACCCATGGGGAGGTTGAGGGTTGAGGGTTCTTGGTCCAGGGTCTCAGGCGGTTTACGGCCTTCAAATTCTATGCAATTCCTACTGACGCCTGAACATTTTCACTCGACTCTGTTGCGCTTGTCGTCCATTGGTGGTTTAGGGTTTAGGGTTCAGGGTCTAAGGTGTAGGGTCTGGGGTTTAAGCTTTAAGGTTTAGGGTTTAAGGTTTTTTAACCCGAGGACCTTCGTCGGGTTTAAGTTTTAGAGTTTAGTGGCTTCCAATAAAATGGACCCCAGTAAAGACCCTCACGTATTATAATCCTTGCTCTAGAGCCCTAAGAAGGGAAGCGTGATTCTGGGACACCCCCCCACCTATTCCTGCAAAGCTGAGGGGCACAACCTCACCACTCTGAAGAACTATTGGCAGGTACGATTCTAGAAGGACGGCCTGATCTTTCAGAATTAAACTTTTTGGACACCGTACTTAGTTTGGAGGGTCAGGGGGACTAAGTAAGTAGGCTGATAACCCCTTTAACCCATGTAGTGACGCTAGTTCTCCTCCATATTAACCTACTTACCAAGTCCTCCTGACCCTCCAAGTAAGCCCAGAAGCTCAAACGCCTTAAACCCTGGACGACCACTCTTTGGAGATCTCCACAGGAGCAAGTTACAAACCGCTGCCCGCAGCTGTGACGGCAGCAGCACCGGAACCCCCAGCGGCCTCACATGCTTGATGAGCTTCAGGACAACCCAGACCCCCAAAAGGATCTAAGAATCAGATCCCCTAGAACCATATGGGAAAGTATATAAGGATTATATAGGGGTTATAATGGGTCCATATAGGGGATCAATTTTTTAGATCCTCCCAGGGGTCTGGGAAAGGATGCAGAGTTTGGGACGTTGAGTATAGAATAGGATACCTGGAGTGCGTGTGTTCATGGTATGTGGACTCTGAGCAGTCTGGAACAAACACCGAGGCTCACCAGCATCTGCCTAAAAACTCCAACAGCGCTGCCGAGCTTCACGATAAGAAAACGACTCGGCCAGAATCCTCAAATATCTAGGTGGTTGTCATAATTATGGTCCTTTTTTTGATCCCTATTATAATACGGCACCTAATATTTAGGGTACCCAAAAAGGGACCCTAATTTTGACCACCACCCATTTGTATTCTCCTACATTCTCGGCAGACGCATCTTAAACTCAACCCTAAACCCTAAACCCTAAACCCCTAAAGCCCTAACCCCTAAACCCCAGCTGGAAACTGCTGGTTCGGTTGAGGGCCCAACTTCCCCGGCAACGGGCGCGATGGGCTCAGGGCTCTGTACCTCCTCCTGGGACCCCGGGCGATATATACGTGTTTGGGGTTAGGAGTTTGGGGTTTAGGGTTTAGGGTTCTAGGGTTTAGGGTTTTAGGGTTTCCTAAAATTAGGGGATTATACTGGGTTCTATAAAGATTATATAGGGTTCTATTTGTGGTAATATCGGGATTATAGGGATAATGGAAAAGAGAATGGAAACTACTGTTTAGGGTATAGGGTTTCCCAAAATTAGGAGTACCTTTTTGGGGGTCCCCATAATAAGGATTCTAATATATTGGGGTCTATATTGGGGTACCCTAATTTTGGGAAACTACCATAGAAAGGTGTTTGGGGTTAGGAGTTTGGGGTTTGGGGTTTTGAGGGTTTAGGGTTTAGGGTTTAGGGTTTGCGGTTTAGGGTTTAGGGTTTAGGGATAGGGTAGGGATAATGGAAGAAAATGGAAACTCACTGCGACGCACTGGTGTCATCTATAAATGTTTCCATAAACACTGAAGGATACGGAAGGATGTTGCCTGGCTATAACTTGGCTGTTGCCGCCCTACTCTGCAACACCCCACGGTACCTCACCCTCTGTTGACCCCATTGCCGTCTGAGGGCGCATTTTGGTGTTCCATGTTACTTTGTCACTCTCTGCTTGTTGATTACTGCTGTTTGGGCCCGACAATCCTAATTCAGGAGCCCAACAAAATCCTCCCAGACTTGCAACCCCTCTGCCCCCTGAGAATACATTAGCCTTGTAGAGATACGACAAATTGGATATGTCTTTCGCAGAGGGGTGGGGGGTGAATGATCTCCCGAATGAGCCAGTCTAAACTCTTAGTATCCCCCATTAATAACCCTTATAATAGTCCCCATATAATCCCTTATATAACCCCTTTAAGGAGTTCAGACCCTACACCCTATGACACCCTAAACCTTATGTAATCCAGTATCTACACCGCTTTTAAGAAGTTTGGAGTATAGCTCACATATAGAAGCCACACAGGCCTCGAGTGTGGCAAGCCCCGGAGCATCATCCTCCTGCGTCACTTGGAGGTTCAAGGTTGGCAATATTAGGGTTTGCTTAGGTAATATTAGTGATCTATTAGGGCTACATGGGGATAATGGAAAAGAAAATGGATACTACTACTGCTGCTGCTGCTGCTACTACTACTACTACTACTACTAGCACTACTACTGCTATTTAACGTTTAGGGTTCCGGCACGCGCGTCGCACTGGTGGCACGTCAACTGTTCCGGAGTCCAATGGTCTGAGAACACGAAATTGCAGGGTTCAGGGTTTAGGTTATTAGGGTTGCAGTAAGTCCAATTGAAAGCACGGAAACCAATAACCCCAAGCGCATAGCGAGCCCGAAAGGACATCCAAAATGTCATGTTGCTGCAATCTACACATGGGCTCAGGCTTTTTTTCGGCACCCATTTTCGATGTTGGCTTAGGATTTTGATGATGGGAGCCACCCGATTTAGTGCGTACCGGGTTGTAGTTGCAGGAGTTCTCCGTTTCAAGCCATCGAGATGTAGCAAGTTGATCGGCAGCAGAAATCGGATGCCTCCCCTACAGGAAGTTGCCCAAAAAAAGGTTGCCATAAGTATTGGGGGCCCCAAACATGGACCCCAAAATATTACAAACCTTGCTAATGAATTCAACAACAAGAATGTCTGGCATCCCTTACACCCAGACCGTGCTACTCAAGATAGGGGTACCCTCAAAAACCCTAGAGATTTACGGTGAGCATATTTGTGGACACTGAGATACACTGAGCCCCTACTAGGGGCTACATAGGGCTCATGATGTTTAGGCCCAATCTCCACAAGCTGGATTTGACATGTTTTAATAAGGCTAGGTATATACACTGGGAAGAAAATTAAACATACGAAGTCCAAGAAGTTTGGCGCTGCTGTGCCGACCTCATGAGCTGGCTCAGCCACAGCACCTCGGCCAACCAAGCATGAATAAAAGGCTTACACTGCGGAATTTTCCAACTAATAGTGATGGAAATTCCTAGTTGGTAACTCGAACTAGGGGTTGCTACGGTAGGGCCGGTGGGGCTAGAGTGAAAATAATGGTGATAATGCAATGCACAGTACATGAGGGGTCAGCTGGCTCTTCGTCAACAACCATGACTCGTCAGACTCATCATATGCAGATGCACAAGGTACGGGCCAAAAATATCTGGCCAGCCCCTATGCAAAGCATGAAAGCCTGCTGCCCGAAAATGCATAGATTGAGCGCGATTCCGCCTCCGTGACCTACTTGCACCTCCAGGAAAGCCCGCACAAGATCGCACAAGCGCATAAGTTGCTATACCCACTACATACTACGCTACTGCTACGACGATTGCTGCTGCTACCATTAATTATGATCCTCCTTCTGCCCCTACTCCTACTCCTACTACGGCCGCGGCTGCGGCTCCTGCTGCTGCGGCAATCACAACGGCGAGGACGCGGGTGAGGACAATGGCAGAACGAGCACAAGGACGAGGGCGAGGACGACACAGGCGATTATTACTATAAAAGAAGTGAAGCCTAAACAAGAAAGCCCTAGATCATTGCCTTCTCAAAAATTGCGCACGGCGCCTTTGAATGGGGACAACTTTTGTCGTGCTCTTCTGTGGGATCTTTCTTTGGAGAACATTACGAAGAATAGCTTCATGTTTCTCATGGTGTATCCATGTCAATCTCATAAGAACTGGGAATAATGGGGCACATGTGGGAGATTCGCGGCACATGACGCAGCCAGATGTATAGAGCGCCAAAAAGCAGTTCGAACAATGATCCCGTTTTTGTGGCTCCTCAGGCCCATAAGCCCTGACAATGTGGGTATCCCGACAGCAAAAATAACGTGATCCCCCAAAAAGGTGATGAAAAGCCCCTCTAACTTATGCCCTGCCAAGCACCACGCAGTCAACTAGACCTTGTAATCTAGGGCTTGTGGAAAACAATGGGTTCCTTTTCAAACACCAAAAACAAGGATTATATGTAGGGGCTGACTACTCATGGAAATCCCAATCTATACCCCTGAACCCGAAACCCAAAACCCTAAATCCTAAAACCCCCCAAAACCCTCCGATTCCGCCAGGCAGCCAACACCCAGGTGAGCTCTCAGTCTACTGAAGGTTTCGCGCCAAGCACGCTCCTTGTCAGGCATGCTGGCTAAGTTTTTCTAAATTAGAGATGCCCTTTGGGGGGTACCTGTGGCATCGTATTTTGGGCTCTATACACTGGGATATTCTGGGGTCCTCCTGAAAGAGAAGGTTGGATGTGTGGGATCAGAGGCAATTTCCAGGAGCACCTAATGATTTGAGGATTTATGGGGCTCTCAATACCCTAAACCCTAAACCCGAAACCATACCACATACCCCAAACCCTAAATCCTAAACCTACCACATAACCTAAACCCTGAACCCTTTTGTATCTTGCCATCCCAGGGGTTCAGGAGGGCGTGGAGTGTCCCTCTTCTTGAGTGTCTTCGGGACCATCTACTGGACTGTGACGCCACGGGCTCCAGAACTTCCAAAATAGGCATCCGTCCATGGTAGGGGTAATATTAAAGGCCCTATCTGACGATACTATAATTGTTATCCAACTGTTACTGAGTGAGGCACTCCTTGTATCGCCTCACAGACCTGGATGGGGCTTCAAGGTTCATCTAAGCATAAGACTGCAAGAACACCGCAGGACCCTGCTCTCCAGGCAATAAATAAGAAACATGCATGTTTGACTGAAATCCTACAAGCCCTAGACCCTCTCTCTCTAGAACCCTAAACCCCTAAACCCTCTCTATCATCCCATCCGCACCTATAGCAGAACTGCTCACCCCCGCCAAGAACGAAGATTCCCAATGCAAGCCCGTAAGGGAGAACTACTTTCAACCCTCTCTATCAATAACAGCCCTGGGTTAAGCTCCGGTTTAGGGTTTAGGGTTAAGGTTTTGGGGTTAAGAGTTTATGCGCAATGACAAACAGCCACACACCGATTGGCATGCTTTCTCGTGATTTCTGGCTTCTGGAAGGTCACGGTATCCGTGGCCTTACAAGAAACCCTGAATGTTGCGGGAACACTTTGGCTTAGTTAACAAGAGGGCTCTAGTTACGCAAACTTAAGATGGGGTACCTATAACTATCATAAGTGCCCGAAATATAGGGGGGCGGGGAATCAAAATCCACCTGTTGAAGGATTCTAGCCACACCCTACCCTAAACCCTACACCCTAAACCCCTAACCCCTAAACCCTTAGCTGATGGCCTTGTCGTTGTAACGCCTCTCCATCTCCTTTCAGGTAAGCAGTTGAAGCTTCATATGAGCTATAGCCTAAGGTCCTGAATCAGAGTTATAGTGGAATAAATAGGGGCGTACTATAGAGGTTATTAAGGGGGATACTGGGAGCTAAGACTAGAGGTCCTATGAGGGGTTGTCAACATTATGACTCAAGACCCTTCTTTTGATTCCTTAGTGGGATGGTATTTCTAAGTGTACTTCTGTCTTCCTTACGAACACAATGGCTTAGCGTTGGATAAGCTAAATACTGGACGCCGTTTTAGACAAGGCATACATACACGGGACCAGAACTTTAACAACCTAGCCTGCGGGTGTTGCAAAGATACGCTTCCTTTATAGGAGACTGTTGTATTGTGAGTAGGACCCATTTTTTGCACGTCCTCATAGGCACAAGTAGGGCTAGAAGGGGAAGGGGGATGCGTAGAGCTCATGTGTTATCCAGCTCAATGTCCTGATGCCTGATGGACTATATGGGGGGTTTCCTAAAATTAGGGGATTCCTTTTTGGGGGTCCCTATAATAAGGACTGTAGTAATTGGGGTCTTTCTTGGGGTCCCCTTATTTAGGGAAACTACCATATGAGCTACACTCAATATTTCCCACATGATTAGCGGACATGATTTCATGCTTAGGGGCTATACCAAACTACAAGGGGAACCCCATGTCCCTTGATGGTGAGGCTAATATAGTCAGTAGCCCATATATAAACTTATATAGAGATACATTCTTGCATTCACTAACATTATAATCACCAATCCAGGCTTTAGAGTCATGATAATCACCCTCCTAACAATACTTGTTGCACGGCTCTTGTATTGTACTGTCGTGCCCTGCAAAGGGTCAAAGGCTTAGGTGGCCACTCAATGCCCTAACCCGGAACCCTAAACATTCTTAACCTGTAAAACCATACTCAGCTCCTCATCTGGGTGTTAGGATACTAGATATTGAGAATTGTTTCCAATCATGACCCAGTTCCGATTTCTTAGGGCTCCTCAAATGAAACCTGCACCTTGCTAAGCTGCGCGACATCCACCCGACAAAATGGACCGGACATCCCAGCATTGCTGATGGGCCAGTGATCATGTCCCAAAGAGGGCTAGGGTTGAGGCTTTAGGGTTTAGGGCTACGCTTGTTTAAGTTTTGAGGATGGGCGGTGCCAGAGGCCAGTACTTTTGTGGCAAGTGTGGAATGTTCTGAAACTTGTATCAAGTCACACGCAGGCGCTCGTTGAAATGCCGCCGGAGCGTGTCCAGCCTGACCCGACGCAGAGCTGTGACCAAAGGAACCCAAAGGCAGGGAGGCTATAAGAACATGGCCATTAGTTATCAGGATGATATTGCCATTTTTCCCTGTATAACCCCTGTATATAGTCATCTCCCATGTCATTCTTGTCCAATGGATTCTCCTTTTTGGAACCCTGCTTGGGATTCTCTGGGCAAGCCTGCCGTCATGACCATGACTCAACATCTTGAATCTGGCCGGTGGAGTGGCATGAGCAAGGGGATTCTGCTTTGATTCTACGATTCCACAAGTTAAAGACTTCTGTTCTGCAAAGACTCCACAAGCACCCTGCCAATATAACTGCCAACATTGCCTTCTCAATCTTCTTCCTGGAACGTACGTTAACACATTAGGGATTTGTTGTCGTACTGCGGATCCCCTCATCATTCCGTTCAGCGTTGGGACGTGTTGTTCTCCTGCGGCTCGCACCGATGTCCCAACAATGACTTGGTTCCAAGCCGCAAGACTTTACCCGGAGACCCTCTCCCTCCCATGCTGGGATAGTAGTTGCCCTCGTCTTTTCCATTATTCCTATGCGTAACCATCTACATACAGTCATTATACCATGTAAAAATACATGTTTATACATACATACATCATGATTGTGCCCCTGTTATACCCTTATATCTTCATTAATTCTAACTTAGTTGGGGACTCCGGAGGCCTCTCATCTGCATCATTGGAGCACTGATGCATGACCTCGAGCTCACCTTAGCATTTTGTGATCACTGAAGATTGGGAGCCTGAACATTAATCATAGTAAGAATGGTAGTAATAGGAAAAAAGCCATACTAGCAGTAAAAATGGTAGTACTGGTAATGACTGTAATAACAGTAATACTTGCAATAATAGTGACAATGGTATTAATAGTTTCTTTTGTTGCCACTGAAGATAGGGGTGAGCGAGCTCTGCATTTCGCACTATGCACCTCAAGGGCCTCTGTCTGCAGAGCCCTGCGAAGTGTTTGAACCTCGAACATGCCCTTAGGAAACGGAGGCCATAGGGCTCCGTGAAGGCAAACCCCAAACGGCAAATTGTGACCGGCAACCGAAATAATAGTAATAATGGTAATGCTAATAATAGTAATGATCCTAATAATCATAGTAATACTACTTGCCCCACCTTTAGAGATCTGCTCTAAGGACTTAGATCAGCGCAAGCGCTGGGCACACACGTCCCCTGCAGGAGGTACATGTCATCATTGCATGCTGTTGGGAAGCCCATCACTTGCCCAAAGCACAACACACCCTAAACCCTAAACCCTAAACCCTAAACCCTAAATCGTGTGCAGAGGCGAGGGCTCTTCAAGAAAGAGTTCTCGTTCTGAAGCGTTTCCAGCTTCGTCCTGGCTCCCAAGCAAAGGTGCCCTCAGGGAACCATGGGACATATGCGCAATACTAAACCCCAGGGTATAATGGGGTATATATAGGCATATTTGGGATATATTGGGATAATGAGAGAGAAAATGGAAACTACTATGTAACAATAACATATACATATATATATATACATGTTCAACACTTCTACATGTTCTAGCAATTCCTATCCCTTACTCGCAAGTCATGGCGTATGCAGTAGCCGATGACGTGATAAAGAAACCCAGCTGCTCGTCCATGAAGTCTTCGAACTGAGTTCCTTCAACATCTCAACAAGAGACTTCTATAAAACATTTCTGCGCGCTCTGACCATTGTTGAATGCGATTGGATCGCTGCGATTTTGTGCAGGCAGAGCATGTCTACAATCCTCACAACAATCCTTGTAATGATCATACCCGAACCTCCATAAAACCCAAGGTGCCAAAGTGACTGTGAAAGCAAAATTGGGTGATGCTTGTCAGATAACAACCGTTTTCCTCTTCATGTTCCCTACAGCATTTCAATCCTCATCTGGCACTGTATGGTATGGCCCTACCTAACCCACCAGACAGCCCGTGACCCATTCAAACATGGCTTAAGCCGGCTAAGCGGAACAGTAAACCTAAACCCCAACCCTAATACGGAATGACCTACATCGTAAGCATTCTCGAGATAATAATCTTACTTGCCAATGGCTACGAACATTCAAACACAATGGAATGGCCCTACCCTGCGTACTAGTAGCCTAAACCTTGGATACCACCCCCACTCGGGGACGTCTGGATAGTATTCACCGTATGGACACAGACATATATGTATATGTTCGGGAAATATTGCCACTGCCACTGTTGATTGTTACAAGGTGGGGCTTCACCCAATACCAAAACCCAAACCATCCCATTTCCCATGTTATGTTCCATCTTTTCTTTTTCATGTGATTTTCCCGAGATAACTGTTTCCATGCTCTGTGCCATCACCCTTACATAATCCCTTCTTGAATTAGTCCGCAATCCCCCTACATTAGCCTGAGCCCTGCATACCCTCCTGGTCTCTTGGAGCAACTTCGCGAGGCGAAGTGTCTGCTCCTCGCAAGCTGAAACATGCTGGGTGCTCCAACTCTGGGGGTCTTGTTGAGCGTCTGCTTCATGACAATTGTAGGATCTTGGCACGAGGACAGGAAAAAATACCTCTTCGCAGGGATTGCTTTTCATTCAGCTTTCTGTGGATTGACTGGGCTCGTTTGGGCATTACGGCTTGGTGCTAGCAGGGTCGTCGGGGCATGTGGAAGAATCTTGCAATTAGGTCTCCGTATGCTGGCTCAGGGCTTTGAGTTTAAGATGTGCATCTGAACGCTTCCACCCCATGCGCTCTGGGAAGAAGAGCGGGCACTCAGCTGTATCACCCCGAGAGAGAAGACGACAAAGAATGATCAGTGGATTCTCGCGCTCACGCTAAAAGCCATGAGTCGGCACTGCAGAAGACGGTCTGTCTCAGCAGCAAAGGAGGCAGTGTGGAAGCTGGTATCAGGTAATTGGATACGAACTCGCGTCCACAGACAGAGGTTCGGGCCCTCGCTCTGAAATAAATCCATCACCAGGAAGATTTACACAGCTTCGTCCCCATGCAGTGAGAAATCCGTTTCAAAACGAACATGCCGAAACCTTCACCTAGCTGTAAAAGTGTAACAGGCTCATGATCGTGGCACCAAGCAGATGGCAATAAATCAAAACGAAAATGCGGGTTCCGGGCTTACACTTACAACTGTCAAAACCCTCGAGCCAGCCACACCACTATGTCAGGGATCCCGTCATGGCATACGGAGTCTCTCCATACAGGCTAAGGTATTTCCACTACTCAGTTTTCTGTCCGGGATGCTCTTCATCACTTTAACCCGAACCTCCATACCTGACCCGCTTTCGATTCAATTGTCCATTTGATTCTCCCTTCTTGGGGTTACCAAGATTCCCTTGCTACAATTCCTGTATATCATGTTCACATGGGACCTGGCTGAGGCTTGGCCTAAGTTACTGTTCCAAGGCTAGCGGAAATTTACATAGGGTCTCGCATCATCTCAGGAACTCCACAAAAGGGACCCGATTAGGGAAAGGGAGATCCTAAGCGCTAAATATCACAAAGCTCTAATCACTAAACTCCACAACCTAAACTTAACCCTAATCCCTGAACCCTGATCCCTGAACCCTAATCCTAAATCCTTCGCCCTAACCCTAAATCCTAAACCCTGAATCCGGAATCCCAAACCCTGAATCCTGAACCCTCAGCCCAAGGACGTCCTGGTAACCTTTGAGCTCGGAGTTCAGGAATGCAATCTCTTTCTGTGAGGACATGGGGCTGCCATCGCGCCTGATGTGGTATACAATCCGTATAATTGCAGGTCATGGTATTGTATTAAGGAATATGTTGATGTGTTAGGGGGTCCCCCATGTCCACCCACAGTAGCTCATATCCCAATAAGGGTCCTGCTCGAGGAACCCTAGGCTGAAGATTTGACGACCCTTTATTTTGTTTTGGGTTTAAGGTGTATACGGGGAGTCTAAAATGGAAACCATATCCAGCCTTTACCAGATTCCTGCCCCTGGGGATTTGGGAGAAGAAGCGTGCATCAGGATCAGGCGAACTCAGAAGCAACCTCGCGCCCTAAACAGTAAACCCTAAACCCCAATTTAAGAGGGAATGTGGCAACGCAACATGCAAGAGGCCGACCCTAGCTGTTCAGTCCGAATACACCTCCCGCGCCTTTACGGTTCCATACCCCAACCACAACCTCAACGTTCCAACTGCAAAAGCTAATCTTGGTCCTTACTACCTTCCTCACTCAGACTAAGCCCTAAACCCCCAAAACTAAACCCCAAACCCTAAATAAGAGCCCTTCTGTGTCATCCCTAAACCCAGCAGATCTGTGGCTTTCTGAGTGGCTCAGAGCCGCCATCCTCCCAGGGCGCTTTCTGCATCTGGGCACCAGAAGTACCGAAAACAGATTCGGGTTTATTACCATTTCTTAGGGTTCAGGGAGGGGGGGGTGTCATTTAGGTTTAAAATTGACCCGTGGGCTGGAGGGCTTAGGGGTTTAGGGTTCCAGGCCTAGGGTTTAGGGTGTAAGGCTTAGGGTTTAGGGTTTAGGCATATTCTGAAAATAGGGACCCAAGGGATATATTGGGATTGCAAAGGGACTCTGGGGTCTGTATCAAGGATTCACATGATGGGGCGGTAATTTTGGTGAAGCTTTCAGGTGGCAAACGGTTGCCCTACCATGAATCTGAGGCGCTTCTGCTTGAGTAGGGGGTTTAGGGTTTAAAGGGCAAGTACCCATAGTGGAGAAGCACCCGTTAAAGAACATGTAAAAATGAAATGGCCTGAAAAATTACCAGCCGTAGTTTTACATCTATCTTAAGTACTCCAAACCACATTTGCAGACGGAACCTCGTACCGAAATGTCTATAATACTGATATTCAGGGCTTCAGAGATCAGATCCGTTCAAGGATTCAAACAAGGATCCGTTTCGTTGAGAAACTCTCATGCTTGACAGCCTCGTCAGGACCCCTTTTCTCCAAGGTGTGGAATCAGAACTGCTGTTGGTCCACCTACAGATGACAGCAAACGCCCCTAAAGCTAGAAGGGGGTGCTTTCCCTGAACCACACCAAACCTCTAAAGCTCTGCATGTATACCCCATCATCTTCCATTGTGTATATAGTCTTTTGCTCTGGACTTGCTCAGGCTATAGTCTAAACTCCTAGTATCCCCCTTCGGTTTCCTGAACCTCCCAACCTTAAAACCCTAAACGCTGAACCTGGGGGGGGTGTAGGGTGCTTTGGAGGGTTTAGGGTTTAGGTTGTTTAGGGGTTTTGGGGTTAGACTCTCTGAGGTGCCTGCAGCCAGCCGAACGGGTGTAAACCCAAACCCTTCACCCTTCACCCCCCCGTAACCCTAAACCCCCAAATTAGCCCAAGGCTCTGATGAATCCAGCGCCAGGCCCTTCAGCGTCACGGAGGGGCGCCCGTCGAGCGGCTGATGGCACAAGGAGCAATTCGAAGAGTTCAATAAAGGGGGAAGGGTTTAGGGTTTAGGGCCCAAACTCCTGGAAAGGGCTCATCTAGGGGACGATAATAGGGGTAATTAAGGGGGATACTAGGAGTTTAGACTATGGCTCAGATGGGTTTGGGTACCTTCTTTGTGGGGAGTTAGAATGTTGGGATCAATGTTCTACGGAAGCTCCCATTCACTTGCTGGCGCTGTGTGGGGAACGTGGGACTGGATTCCAGGGATTTCTATTTCCGGCTTGCTGTCCAAGACGTTACATTAAATTGCACTAGTTAGGAAACC